CTATTTATTTGAGAGACAGCATGAGACACAGCAGGAGCAAGGACAGAGGGAGAGGGAGAAGCAGAATCTCACTGAGCAGGGAGCTCAATATGAGGCTTGATCCCAGGACCTTTGGGTATCATGACCTGAGCCAACTGAGCCACCCAGGCAGCCTGGGCCAGTATAATTATTAATAACTCATATATTTTTAAAATATTTTATTTAGGGCAGCCCGGGTGGCTCAGCGGTTTAGCACCTGCCTTCAGCCCAAGGCCTGATCCTGGAGACCCAGGATCGAGTCCCGCATCAGGCTCCGTGCATGGAGCCTGCTTCTCCCTCTGCTTGTATCTCTGCCTCTCTCTGTGTGTGTCTCTCATGAATAAATAAATAAAATCTTTAAAAAAAAAAGATTTTATTTACTTATGAGAAACACACAGAGAGAGGCAGAGACACAGGCAGAGGGAGAGGTAGGCTCCCTGCTGGGAGCCTGATGCGGGACTTGATCCCAGGACTCCAGGATCATAACTGAGCCAAAGGAAGACAACCACTGAGCTACCCAGGTGTCCCAATAACTCATATTATTTTCTCTTAAAATTGTCCTGATTGGATAATAAATCCTATGCTTACCTTATCAGAACAAGGAAGATATTCAGATACTTGGTAACTAAAAACATAACAAACACCTACTATGTTATCAGTCAAAATGTTACCATAAGTCAAAATAAGTTTCATACTCTAACAAGGGATTAAACAACAGTCAATAGCATCATGCAGTCTGCCCCACTGGGCAAGAAGCAAGTTCAGTGTAAGCCATCTCTTTTTTCTATGATGGCTGTCACTTCCTAATGCATTTGATTAGTATACTGACCAGCAGTGCCTCTCTCAACAACATCCTTTCTTTTGTCTCTGAGAAGTGGAATGTCCTCAGAAATCATATTCCAGTCTCAATGACATGCTCATCAAGCTTCTGATCTATAGTAATCTGATTTATGTATTAAAAATTTTCTCTGTTGAGCTTTAACCTAGAAAACAAAGGCTATGAAATCTAAATATCCAACTTACTATTGGATATCTCAACCTGAATATCGTTTATTAAATTACTCATTTAGTTGTCAGAAAATTCAATTCCTTTCAATTATATAAGTGGCTCCCAGTTTTCTTCTTGCCACCACCTTCCAGAATATGGAAGTGGTTGTATTTTTCTACTTCTTTAGAAAGATTATTCTAGGGCAGCCCGGGCAGCTCAGTGGTTTAGCGCTGCCTTCAGCCCAGGGTATGTGTGATCCTGGAGACCCGAGATTGAGTCCCATGTCGGGCTCCCTGCATGGAGCCTGCTTCTACCTCTTCCTGTGTGTCTGCCTCTCTCTCTCTCTCTCTCTCTCTCTCTCTCTGTGTGTGTCTCATGAATAAATAAATAAAATATTTTAAAAAGAGAAAGAAAGAAGAAAAAGAAAGAAAGAAGAAAAGAAAGAAAGAAAGAAAGAAAGAAAGAAAGAAAGAAAGAAAGAAAGAAGAAAGAAAGAAAGAAAGAAAGAAAGAAAGAAAGAAAGAAAGAAAGAAAGGAAAGAAAGAAAAAGAAAGAGAGAAAGAAGAAAGAAAAGAAAGAAAGAAAGAAAAGAAAGAAAGAAAGAAAGAAAGAAAGGAAAGAAAGAAAGAAAGAAAGAAAGAAAGAAAGAAAGAAAGGATTATTCTAGTGGCAAATTTGGAATTTGGACCGCTAGGTATTTCCAATCTGATAGGACTTGTCTTCCCTGAAGAAGAGTTGTCTGCCAATGGCTGAATAAGGTAAGAGTTGGTTAGAAGGCATAAAGAAAACATGTATTTAGAAAAACTACTGATGAGTGGGAAAGGGAATTAACCAAGAATAAAGAAAAAAATTTCAGAGGATAACTGGTAAAATCATAAATTTGTGGTGACAATGGATGACTTATTTGGGGATATCTATATCAATATGTATATACGTATTTTTCCCCTAGCAACACTACCCAACCTAGAATACAATTGATCCAGATAGATCTCAAGATAGATTTAGAGTGAGTTGTTTTCAAAGTAGAAGTGATGAAATCAGGAAGAAAGGACTTTGAGAGCACTAATTTAAGAGATTTACAATAGTACTGGACTCTAGAGAAGGAGGTTTGCACAAACGTGGCTAAACATGAAAATGTGTAGAAACCAAGGACTTTAGATCCTGTAGAACAAGGTGATAGGGATAGAAAATTGGACTTAGAGAAGACTGTTATTGGTTTTTGGAATATGGAAATGAAAAAAGCTTAGAATAGCAATAGTTCTAAGAAAACCTCAGATTGTCTCAAGAATGGTGTGGGCTTGTACTGCTGAAGTTAAGGAGTAAATTTTACTGCTATTTGATATGTTAACAAAACTAAGACTGCTCTTAATCTTGGGCTCTGCCTTGGATAGACTTTGAGATGTGTACTTTCTGGGGAAAGTCCATGGCTACCATAAGGTTTTCAGGGGCTTTAATAAGCACCAATATGTTAAGACTGAATTAGACTTTTTAGATGAGGCTACATTTAATGAAAAAGTTTTTCCAAAATATCTATGGTTTTTTCTGCATATGGGCTGTAAGGATCTTATTTCAAGCAGGTGACTTATTACCTGTTCTAGCCTTATTAGTTACTCTTTACAGGTTTCAGAAGGAATTTTGAGCAGGGTCCAGGATATATTTGCTTTGTTCTTTTTTCTTCAACAGTTAATTTTATTTTTCTAGAAACATGGTATTAGACTTGTTAGAGAAAAAAAGTCATATTTTTTGAAACATCAAATTTTAATGAGACATGCAGTAAGTTTTATGTGACTATATTTGTTCAGAAAGTATCTTATTAAAATGAATTTGAATCAAAGAATTTCCTATATTCTCCTTTACTTCAATTAATTGCTTAAGAAGTTAATTCTGAAATAAGTTAGGTGTTTATAATAAGATGATATAGGAAGAAATATATTAATTAGAAACTTCTTAGAGATATAGCCTCTTAATCTGATTCCTAGAACTTTTAAAGGTTTTCCTTTAGGTTTTAAAACTTGGTTTTATTTTAGTTATTCATTAAAAGATGAATATGAAACTTAGAGGAGCATAGAGTTATTTGAAAATACCTAAGACATTTCTTATTGTCTACTTTTGTGGAAGAAGAAATTTAGGATGAATTTGGATTTTATAAGCTGCTTTATAATGGGAAGAAAATGATTCTCATAAAAGGAAAAGAAGTGATCATTTGTAAGCTTGAAATGAAACATTTAGAAAGCTTACCTTTTGTAACAAAAATGTAATCCTAAAATTGACAGTTGATTGATTTTACAAATACCTCAGTGTATGGAAATCCATCAGGAAAATGACAAAATGATAAAAGAGAATGTTGTACAGGAATATTAGTGAAGATTGAAACTCCTGCTAAAAAAGCCATGCTACCGCTGAGAACATCATTAGAGCTATTAACCAACCAGTATGCAATGCCAAACCCACATACTTGTAGTGATTGATTAGAAAGTAACTGAATTTATACTTTGTGCACTGGGCCAAAAGAACAGAAATAATATAAACTTGCTACAAAGTAACAGGTTCTTTATATATAATATATATCAAGGAAGCTTGTATATTTAATGCAATGAAAAAGTGAAATATTTCAAAAAATGTCACCAAGATTTTTAGGGATGAGGAAATAAATTAAAGTAAGACATAAACAGGAATAGTGACCAGTGATGAGGGAAGGATGTAAGCACCTTATATATTTTATTACCCATCACTACTTTGATTATAATTCTTAAAATTAATTGAACACTTTCTACTTGTCACCATTCACAATATTGTTTATATGTTAATCATCACAATTCTACGAAGTGTTAATGGTTGGCTCAGTCTACAAATAAGGAATCAGAGGCAAAGAGCAGATAATTAACTTTCCCAGTGGCATATGGTCAGTAAATGGCAGAACAAGGATGTGATGCCAAACTAATTCCAGGACAGATGTTTTTTACCACTCTACCATGATAGGCCAGATCCCTGCCTATCCATAATACAACCTGATTTTAAAAATATATACTGTCTCCAAATCTAAGAAATTTGGAAGAAGCATGATCATAACTTGTACAATTTGGTGGTTTTTTTTTTTTAATAAATTAATTTTTATTGGTGTTCAATTTACCAACATACAGAATAACACCCAGTGCTCATCCCGTCAGGTGTCCCCCTCCGTGCCCGTCACCCATTCACCCCCACCCCCCGCCCTCCTCCCCTTCCACCACCCCTAGTTCATTTCCCAGAGTTAGAAGTCTTTATGTTCTGTGTCCCTTTCTGATATCTCCCACACATTTCTTCTCCCTTCCCTTATATTCCCCTTCACTATTTGGTGTTTTTAAGTGGTGTTCTTGTATGACATCTTTCCAAGAATATAGAAAAAAACATTGCATATTAGAAATAACAAATTCATTATAAAATGTCAAATTTTTATAAAGAATTATGCATATAAGAATAAGGCAAACTGTGTGATATTTATAAAGAAGCAATAGAATAATTTCCTAATTATACTAAATAATATGAACCCAGGTCCTGATTTAAACCTACTCAAATTCCAACTTTGCCACTTAAAGTTGTGTAAACTTAAATGAATCACTTAGCCTCAATGAGCTCATGTGTTAAATGAGAACAGTAAATTAATTTATTTAACAGGGTTATATTGACAATTCCATGAGTTAATCTATAGTGAATGTTTAGCAAAATATCTTACAAATAGTAAGCAATTAAACCAACCACCATAATTAAAAACTATGAAATAAGGGTTATTTTAGTTGTCCATTGTAGTTAAACATGGATATGCAAATAATTAGAAGTTCATTCATGAGCCAAGGATGTATTTTAAAATAATAGATTACATTCACTGAATTTTTATTTCTTTTAACATTAAAATTAAGAATAGTGTAGATAAAATGAAATGGCAAAGGAAAAGAGTGCTTGACTGTTAAAATATTGTTAATATGCATAAAACACAAACAAAAAATTATTCTCATAGACTTGAGAATTTTTGGTATCAAAAAAGAAAAAAAATTTGTACCAATTAAGAAAACTCAATTTGAGCCCTCCTCCCTCTTCCCAGCTCCGGCGTCCCCAGATTGGAGCCCACCCGAGGGCCCCTCTCCCGCCCCCCCAGCCCAGCCACCCAGCCAGAACATCAGCCCCGGGGGGCAAACCAGCCCAGCCTGCCTCCCACCAGCCCAGCCCTGCCAGAGCCCCTCAAAGCATGAATCTCTTCTGATTCCTGGGAGAGCCATCATCTTGCCATCATCTTGGTACTCCCACCTCCTAGCCATCATCTTGCTACGGCTCACAACCTGGAAGTCCCGCTCTTGTGCGGGGATTTCAGGGAAGAGCCAGGTCCTGTTTGCTGTGGGGTTCACTGCCCGGTACCTGGACCTCTTCACCAACTACGTCTCGCTGTACAACACGTGCATGAAGGTGGTCTACATTGCCTGCTCCTTCACCACAGTCTGGATGATTTGCAGCAAGTTCAAAGCCACTTATGATGGGAACCATGTCACATTCCGAGTGGAGTTCCTCGTTGTTCCCACGGCCATCCTGGCATTCCTGGTCAACCATGACTTTACCCCTCTAGAGGCCCTCCGGACCTTCTCCATCCACCTGGAGTCGGTAGCCGTCCTGCCACAGCTGTTCGCGGGGAGCAAGACGGGCGAGGCAGAGACCATCCCCAGCCACTACCTGTTTGCTCTGGGCGTCCACCGCACGCTTTCTCTCTTCACCTGGCCCTGGCGCTACCACCGAGGGCTTCTTCGACCTCACTGCCATCGTAGCAGGCCTAGTCCAGACTGTCCTCTACTGCGATTTCTTCTACCTCTACATCACCAAAGTCCTGAAGGGGAAGAAGCGGAGTTTGCCTGCGTAGCCCTGGGCTCGGCCATCCCTCTCCTCGGCAGCCCAAGAGACCAGAGAGGCAGAGGAAGGCAGGGAAAGACCAACAAGAGCCTTCCCTTCCTGTCCAGGGGTGACTTTTTAAAGAACCAACCTCTCCGCACTCCCCAGCCCCGCTCCTGCCAGGTTTCAGGGGGGTGGTGGAGGACCCAAGTCTTGGGGAGCTCAGGACCTGGGGTGTTTGTAGTTTTTTGCCTTTTAGAAAAGAAAAAAAAATCTTTCCACTATTTAGTTTTTGATTCTGATGACTCCTTTCTCTTCTACTCTCTGGCCCCCAATTTTTATAGGCTGTTTTTGAATGTCCCATGGGGCAGGGTCGCATATCTTTGCCCTCCTCCAAGCCGCTTGGCTCCCTCCCAGATCCTACCCTCCAGCCTCGCCAGTTGCCAAACACTAAATCTGCAGACACTCACCTGTCTGACCTCCCACCATGGCCATGAACACATCCTCCCCCACAAAACCCCCCTCAACGTTTAGGATTGGGGAGAGGGAGGAGGGGAGGAACAGTCTCCCTGATTTTTCAATATAATTTTTTCCAGAGTTTGTTTTTTTTGGGCTTATCCTCATTTTTCGACAATTTAGGGGGGACGAGGGGCCGGGCATGGCAAGGGGGTTAGCCTGAGGGTCACCATTTGGCTCAACAGCCACGTTTTTGTACAGACTTGATGGTTGATTCTTTGTTCTCTTGAAATAAACCAGGGAAAATGATGCCTCTTTCGAAAAAAAAAATTCAATTTGATATTTAACTTTTAATGAAATGCATATCTTAGTTTACAACATAGGTAAGTAGTCCTTGTCAAATTATTCCACAAATTGTTCTATAATAAATACTTAGGTAAACAGATTTGATTGGCAGTTAATACTTCCCCAAACTAAGCTTTATCTTTATGCATTATAGGCGTATTTTAAGAATAGTTCAATCTGTACATATTGACAAAAACTGACATGGAGTATATCAATCCAATACCATTTTTTTTCCTTCGTCTAAATATTTCAGTCTTTGAGTACTAATAAAATGAAATATTTAAAATTTTATCTAATATTAGCTTGAAAGAACTTTCTGTAAAAATATCCTATACAGGATATGTTCTCTAACCTATATTTTAATATATTTGCTTCAGGCTTTTTGCCTTTTAGCTCCATTAGTGGAACGTCAGATCAGATTTTGCAAAAATACCAGTAAACAAAACCCCATGTTCACACTGTAATAATTTATTCTTAATCATAAACCCTGCTTTAATCTCTATTGTACCCACAGCTATCCATAAACTATATTCTATATTTATGCTTTCTTAAAACATGAAATGCTTGAAAGTAGTTTATGCCTAATATCAGTTTATGTTTGGTACTAAAGTTTAGACTAAAAATGTGAATATGATTCAGTTTTAGCAAATAATGTGAATCTTACAGAGAACTCCAAAGAGCTTTTTATGACTCATGTTTCTAAAACATAATTTTGCCCCACAGAATTATTCAGTAGTCATATAGATAAAATTTTAAACTTCCCTTGACCAAATAAAATAGTGCAAGTAGCACAATGACAAAGGTGATAAAATTTGATACTATAGTTGATCCTTTTTTTTTTCTATTTCTAAACCAAATACCAAAATATATATTGTTATATTTGTCTACAACAGTATTCAAACACTGTCTAGTCAACCTAATGTGTACATGATGGACAGAAAATGCATTAGGAAGTGAGGCTCATTATTAACTTGTGCTTTCCTGCTATTTCTTACTTTTAGAGTAGAAAAAGGTTTACAGGATTATGTATAATTTTAGTTAACAAAAAAATCCTACCAAACTTTTACTCAATTTTGAGTTAAATGGAATAACAGCACATTAATGCTTAATAAGGTAAAATCACCAATCCATAACATTAATGAAGGTCACAATTGAAATGTATGACTTTTATTTATCATGTGGTTCTTAAATTTAATGATTGAAAATCAAATTTTGAACAAGATGTCTAATTTTTATAACAAAAACTGCCCATAATTTCTGAAAAGTAGAAAATTATACAAACAAATAATATGTATAAAGATATAAGAAATCACTCTTTCAAAATAAAAAAAGGTTGTCTAAATAATTTGTAATTATATTCCTTAACATTTGTGTTTTCTTCATAGTATATATTTAATGCTGACATTCCTTCATGTGAACTTCTGCTGCCCTAATCACGGAATAAAGACATTGATATGCATATTCTATTACATTATTTTTTAAAAGATTTATTTAAATTTATTTTAGAGAGAGAGAGTGAGCGGGGGTTGAGGGCGGGAGACAGGACTAGAGGGAGAGACAGTCTTAAGCAGACTCCTTGCTGAGCACAGAGCCCCATTCTGGCTCAATCACAGGACCCTGAGATCATGACCTGAATAGAAGTCAAGAATTGAGCATTTGGGCCACCCAGGCACCTCATGTATGTCAGTTATTTTAGATGCCTTAGGCCTTTTTAGAAGCAATTATGAAAAACAGCAGTCAAGGTGACAGCAAAGGTCCTCTAACCAAAACCAAAATGGGTAAATAATTCTTATTGTGGGCTAAATTCCTAAGTTATAGGAAAGTCAAGAGGCTTGGGTTTCTCTTTTTATGACAGATCCAACTTATTTCCTTTACCTTTGCCTGCTTTAGTTCCTCACTGCAGGCCCATTGATGGGCTCATGCTCAGCCTGTATCCTACCAAGTCCCAGAACAGAGGGGGGAATCTTCCTGGAGGAAGACAGTATATGAACAGCAAACATCCTCTCCATCTAAAGTGTATCTTTCCTCAGTTGAGGACTCAGTGTATCCAGGAGGCCCAGTGTACCGCCTTTCCAGGCCACACATCTTCCTCCCATAAATAACACATCGTCCTAAAAAATAAATCATATAACACAAAGGAAAATAAATATCACTTCTAATCCTAGTGCACAGAGAAGCACTGTTACTTTTTTGCTGTATATTCCTGTTGCTTTATGCTATATACACAACAAACCCACACACACAAGCCATACAGTATATCCCAAAAGATTGCTTTAGGTTGGATTCTCTTATAAACAGACCCTGACTGATTTGAAGAAAAAAATCTTTTTTTTTTTTTTTTTTTACAGTAAACCCAAGAGCACCCATAAAGAAGAAGAGACATGCAGGTAGGAAAAAGCCTGCTGTGGGGGAATTAATAGATAAAGGATCACTGTGGGAGGCCAAGGGTCAGTTCTGCTGGGAACCTCCTGGAAACAGTGGTGAGCATAGCTTAGAATTGTCCCACCCAATGAATGAGGAGCCAGGAGTATTTATTCACAAACTCATCGAATGTTAGCTGTGGGCTATCCTCAATGATCTGAACTCTCTGCACTCCAGACTTGCCCTGCATATTCCTGCCACCTGAGAAAGGCCTCAGGCAATCGGAGAATCAGTTCGACAGTGTCCAAGGATGGTGGGGAGGGGGAATCCAATATACTTATAGAATAATCCAGATTATTCTTACACTGCTTTATTGTATAAGCTTTCATACCAGTGTAGCCTTATCTTATTTTTACATAGTTTTAACATCTTTATCAGCATAATAATTTTATAACAGGATATTACTGTATTATTTATTTCCTAGTTCCTACTGCAGGAAATACACATATTCTATAAATTTGCTATTTTAATTCATAATACACCAACTTGTTTATTATTTCTTTAGAATAAAATCGTAGAAGTAGAATAGTGGAGTCAGCACATTACAAATTTTGACCGACATTTCCTCATTATCCATTCTAAAAGATGTACCATTTTATACTCTCCCAAATAGAACAGCTAAATGCCTATTTCCCCACATCTTTTCTGTGGCTTTGTTTTATCAACGTTTCTAAACTTTACCTGCTTTTTTATTTTAAATCTGAACTAGTCATACCGTGAAAGGCAAATTGCTCATTTATTCTGTTACCATGTTATCCATCAGGATGTTAGGTTTCTCTTCTGTAGAAACCCTGAAGAAACTCTTTCATCTTCTTTGATGAAGTCCTCTAAAATTTGAAGAATTTAATGTCATACTTCTGACATTCAGTATCTTCATCTATAATTTGAAAAGGTACGCCATATTTTCTCTAACTAGACTTTTCCAAGGCAGTTGGTCTCTTGCTGAACCCAGAAGAGCCTTCAACACTTTTAATAAAAGTTGTCTTGACTTCCCCATGTTGCTGAAGTTAGCCATACAGATGACACTTAGATGTCATTCTCACATAGATAATACTCAAAACATATTTGTTGTTTTCAGTTTTATATCTTTTATAATTATACACATTTTTAAAACAAAAACACCTTTTTATAATTGTATACATTTAAAATTCAATGAAAATTGTTTTCCTAGGCATTGATCAAAATTTTGCTTTAAGATTTTACTCATGAGTATGATGCAGAAACATTTCTAATTTGCTAGTGTTAATATATTCCACTATTTCACTGGGATGTTTGCAAATAATATCTAAGTAACAGTTATTCTCTTTATTTTTTATTTTAATTTTAATTTTTTAAAAGATTTTATTTACTTATTCATGAGACATACACACACAGAGAAAGAGAGAGAGAGAGAGAGAGAGAGAGAGAGAGAGAGAGAGAGGCAGAGACACAAGCAGGCTCCAAGCAGGGAGCCCAATGTGGGACTCGATCCCAGGTCTCCAGGATCACACCTGGGCTGAAGGCGGTGCTAAACCCCTGAGCCACCTGGGCTGCCCCTAGTTTTTCTCTTTAATATTTTTAAACTCTATCCTAAGCTTTAAGAACATTCAAATATTTTATTTTTTAAAATATTTTATCTATTTATTTTAGAGAGGGGGAGGGGAGTAAGAGAGGGAGAGAGAAAGAGAGAGAGAGAGAGAAACAAACTCCCTGCTGAGTGTGAAACCCTACAAGGTGCTCTATTCCATAATCCCAAAACAATGACCTGAGTCAAAATCAAGAGTCAGAAGCTCAGCCAGCTAAGCCAACCAGGCTCCCTAGAACATTTGGATATTTTAAAGAGAATCTGTTTTCTTACCATTT